GGCATCCATCTCGAGGTTCCCCGACGGACCGTCGTCCATCGGGGCCGGGGCAGGTTGGTACAGGTTCCCAGAACGAGTGCCGACCATCGTAGAGTGCTTAAAAAAAATTGGCGGATTGGCGGTGGTGTCGAGCGGGTGATCAGGCCGAAAGACGTCGCCAGAGGACAGAGTATAAAGCGAAGTTCAAAAAGTGTAAGCGTAGAGGCTGCGTTGGTCGCAGAAATCTAGCCACGAGAAGACTCAAGCAACAGAACTAGAACAAGCTCTGTTGGGAATCCTGGGGCTCTACGTAGATAACAGCGGTCTTATATAGCGTAGAGAGTCCGTGATGTGACGATGTGTGACTAGGAGCGGAAATCCCTACACCTCGCGTCGCCCTCTCTTCTGGTCTCCACGTCTCAACATCTATTCTAGGAACCTGATGTAATTTTTTTTATCCCTCGCTCGGATGCCCACCTGACTGCCGCGGGCCGCACGCCGCACCTCGCTTTTGCTCCGATCTCGGTGCTCTCCGTCTGCCACGCTGTCGGTCGATCCTTCGCTATCTGACTGTAATCACAGAGCTTTGGTGAGCCGTCGATTGCGCACTCGACTTCTGACGCCAGCCCTCGCTGGCGGATTGCTCGATCTTGGCTCGAGCGGCCGCGCATCCCGCATGCGTAAGGCCTTTGCCCTCCAGTGTGCATTTCTTGGTACGTACGACGTCCCTGACATTCTACGACGCGTGCGGAGCAGCCCCAATACGGAACAGCACAGCTCCTGCGGCCGTCCTTCGTGATACGCCCGTAGAGTCTGCATCCGTGGTGAAGAATGAATTCGGTGTCGGACACGCGAAATTGTTGAGTGGTCAACCGGAAACATTTCTTACTCGGACGGCCGGTGGGCGGTCTGCGACCGGCAACGAGAATGAACCTGTTTCTTCCCCGGAGCAGGAGTATCCAGCCAACCCTGTCACAGTTTGCGAAGGGATCATGGATGTTGGGACTTTCATTACGGGCAAGTAAATTCCCGCTATCTTCAGTAGTCACTGCGTTCCGACCCTCCGTAGTCAGAGGGTGTGACTACTGCCGTAGTCAGAGGGTAGTCAGAGGTGTCTTCCTATGTGAAGATAGGTCCGTAGGCAAGGTCTGTCAATGTTATGTTTACGTCTGCCCACCTGGGTCTACCTTGGTCTACCTACGTCCGAGCCTGCCTACGGGTGTAGACATAGGTGAGTTTCGTATAATATGTTCTCACCCAATTTCTATGGGCATGGCAACAGTGGCAAGTCACTGTTGAGAGTTGAACAAGAGTTGAATGTCGCTTAAAATTGAGTTTGCACCTATTTGTTCGGCCCTCGGATCAGTCGGCAAGTCGTGATCACTGACCTCCCCTCTTCTCATTTCCGTCGTAACCTCTTTGCAGCATCACCAGGGCCCTAAAAAAGAAAACGACGGCAAGTTCAGATAGGGATGGAGTCGGGGCCGAGTCCGTAGACCAAGGTTGGGCGACGTCACGGCGAGGTGCGACTACGGGGATCGACGAAGGTACAGCCACGTAGTCAGGGTATGATCCAATGGGGTAGTCATCGCTAGGACATGGATGTCAGACACCCTGACTACGGCCTCTGCCTACGGGGATCAGCGGAGGTAACCTCAGGTAGACCACGCTAGGACATGGGAGTCAGACCTGTGACTACGGCGGGCCGGAACGCAGTGAGTTCCCGCTATCTTTAGTAGTGGGTTTTTGTGGTCGTTCTGAAAGTCATTTTGCAAAAGTTTTTGGCACGGTTTCAGTCGCCCGTTATGGTAGTCGAAATGTTTGCATATCTTTGTCTTTTTTTCCTTTACTGGCATGCCATCATTGATGTGTTCCTCTTTTTGGCTTCATTACCACGCTCCTTAACGTCGCACCATCCCTTGATCCTCTTTCTCCGATATGTCCGTCTCTGCCCCTGACCCCATGGTATCATCATCGACAGCATTGCTATTTGATTGCTCTCCAGTGCTTCACCTTCACCAACATCCCTCGCACACTTCTTTTTCTTGTGTTTTCCTGGTCTCGCTTCCCATCTACTTGCATCTCAGAATTGTGCCCATCTATTCACAGTGTCTCCTGGAACATATGGACCCCTTTTCTTGTGCTCTGTTTCTGTGCCATCCCCTTACGCTGTAACATTGTAACACTTGGACTCGAATGGGCTGCATACTTCCGTGAGTCCCTCTTGAATTCTGGCTATTGGTGTGGGGATACATTTGATGTCTGGGCCTTTCTCTCAGCGCATCTGTGCCTTTTATTTTATTTCATTCGCGTTTCTGTTCTGGCAGACAGTTCAGACCCCCCATCCTCCATTCCTGGCTATGTTGGCTATGTAAGGCTCATGGGTCCCGGTCATTCATCTCTCTAATTTACGCACTTATTCCCCGCCAGAAACATCCACACCATCTTTCGGTCTGTTCCCTCAATGCACATATGTCCTCGCCTCCCTTTAGCCTCTCAAGTCCGCCCGAACCACCGGCTCGATCCTTCCGTATTGCATAGGCTCCGTCTTCTCACATCTCTCATCAATATGCTTCGCCTTCAACTCCATCCCAACTTTGACTCGGTGGTTGCCTCCCTGTTGTCTCCAGCTGTTTTTGTTAGCTTCCGATACCAGTGTGCTGCAAACCTCTCCATGATGGGTAGATGAATCCAGCTCTTCTTGACTATGTAATATATTTCTGCTGCACTTCAAAACTCATTGAAAATGCAAGGGATACAGTGAAGGATAGGAAAAATAAAAACGGAGAGTTTCATCAAAGTCCTGTCACTTATCCAAGGGCAAAAAGATAGATAGCGGGCCCTGCCGCGCAGCGGGCTACCCTGATTATTTAATTGACTTGTACCTAACTATATACATGAATTCTCTTGATCATTTTCATCAGCGCGTCCTCGCTTTTTGCCAGTCAGCGGCACTGCTTTACTAGGTAAGTTAGTTTTGTTCGAAAGAACTGCGGGGTTGTCTCCGCTGAGCGCGAGAGATTTCTTGATTCTATCAACCTCTACACGGCCGGGAAGGGGTTTTTTAATGCTAACATGACATTTCAGTATATGAAATTTCTCCCTGGAACGAATGACCATACCTCCGAAAATATACCACGAGCCGTTCGAGAAGATCCTCTTTATTTCCGCTAAGCTTACACCCGTTTTCGCGGGAGGATTGGAAGTGTCGCAAGTCGAAGGAGTGCGCGGGCTTCTGGCGACATCTGAAGACCCCCATCAGAGTCCCCAGAGTTTGCGAGCTCGTCATAAATTGCCTCGAAACCGGCCATACTTTCGGTGAGGAATTCGAGGAGTACAGTGCCGCACTCATCGAAGTATTCCCAACGCCGAGTGATGATCTTCAGGTTGTCGAGGTCAGTACAAAGGTGTGCTTTATCGAGAACAGCATCCAGAATAAAGGGTGGAAAGAAAACGGAACAAGGCAGCTCTCGCGAGGTACGGATTTGGTCCCACATTCGGTGGCTCCATCGGTCCAGCATGTGTGATAGTGATGTCCACATGGCTTTATCCAGGACTCGAAAGGCACCATCGGTCCTCGGGCGCAGTGTAGATGCCTCGGCATCGGCCGCAAGCTGTTCAAAGTGCTCCTTCCATTGCTGAACACGTCCTAAATCAAGTGCGCTGGCATCAGAATCGTGAATGGGGCCACAACAATTAGAGCTGATGGTGTGATGGGGGAAGGGCTCTGAGTTGTAATGCAGAGCAGTGTGACGAGAGCAAAAATGCGGGGTCGGATTCAACCATGCTCGGGTGGGCTCCAGAAGCTGGCCTCGTTTCTCCTCCTCATCGTGTTCTGTCTTGGTTGAAGGGTCAGTGTCGGGCAGATTTCGCACCCAAGGCGGGGCAAATGCAATCGCTTCTGCTGGCTGTCCATCCCTCCCTGCGCGCCCCCATTTTTGCTCGAATTCCTCGAAATATGTCTCGAGTTTGGTGGTAATGACACGATGGATGTTTGGAACATCAAATCCGTACCCTACCGTATCTGTGACCACCATGACCCGGACCTTCCCAGATTGAAAATCGGCCTTGAGATCACGACGATAATTGCTGGGCATGAGACCATTGTAGAGGAGGCATTGAGGATGTCGGAGGGAATTAACTTGTCAAGGAAGTCCATGATGCTGAATCCGCGCTCAATTGTGTCTACAAAAATGGCGGTGGAAACAATCTCTTCGGCAGTCTTGATTCCCATCAGAACAACGAAGCTGAGTTCCAGGTGCTCCGCTCCAGTGTGTGCGTGTTCGAAGAAGCATGGGTAATATTTAATATTTGGGTGATTGACCGAGTAGCGGACATCAATGTATGCACCTGTCCTGAAGCCTAATTTCTCGGCCATGACTGGGGCGTGTTCCGTCGTCGCAGTAGCATTAACGGCCACTCATGTAACAGAGCTCGGGAGCTTGACTCAAAGGGTTGAAAGTCCAAGGTATGGGGCTGCAAAGACACTGTCTCACTAGTCAACCAACTGTGCTTCATCAATGGAAACCCATTGCATGAGGGCCGCAAATGATGGTGAGTTCAGCAGGTATTACATGTGCTTTCCTCGCACCATCTGCGGTGTCATAATGGCGATGCGCACATCATCTCCGGTGGCTAGTTCATGCCATAAATTGTGTTTGACAAGGGCCGCTTCCTGGACCGTGTCTTCATTGATTGCCAGAGCGCATAGGCTGTGTGCGACCGCGACTTCTGCCTGAAGGAACATGGATTTAATTCCAATTAGTCGTAAAGAGTGTGCCCGACACACCTGCTGTTCAACCAGTGCCTTGGTGGGTACAATAATCAGGCAGATTCCAGCTTCTCCCCGAGCATCCGTTGCAATAGCTCCAGCATGCAAAAGAACAGTCTTGCCCATTCCAGTGGCAATTACACAGAAGAGCTCCTTCCCTGCATTTATACCCATGCTCCGGTCCAGCTGGAATGGCTATAACTTCGGTGAAAGGCCGGTCATGTGATCCATTGTGAAATGTTCCAAAGGATGGCTCTACTGGGATTCGAACCCAAGACCTCCCCATTACATGCTGGAGTGCTCTTTAACCACTGAGCTATAGTGCCGATGAAGGACTGTAATCAGCCGATGTCACAGGATACAGCTTCACGGCGCCATGCGTGCCTGCTGCCCTAGGGGCCCACACCCGATATTACCAGTTGGTTCCTTGCTGCTTACAAGCCTAGCCTGATAGTCAGCTCATCATTGGCACCTTGCATCACATTGTGAGAACAGACTCCATCCATTCACGAGAGTCCACTGCCGGAGGAGGTTCGGAAAGCGCATCAGACACGTTGGGTTCGTCCATTTTAGCCAAAAGTGATTATAACATAGATTAAAATACAAGCTGAAGAGGATACGGGGCCGAGGGAGGGCGGAGGAGCGCGACGCACTCGCGCTGGCTGAAAGGGGACGCGTGCCGTGGCTTCGGATCACCGGCATCTTGACATCCATCATTCCCACGGGCAATCCTCAGACCACCACCCCCCCCCCCCCCCTATCAAATCCTAGACTAGCAGCGGGAAGGGAATTTCTCATGGTGGGTTAAGTCGTGGAATGCTGCGGCGGGCTGAGAACGGAAAAGGATGAAGAGGGATAGTCGGGGGTGTGCGACCCGCGTCATCCGAGTCCCCGTTTCAGACAAAGAAATCGACAGAACCTGGATTTCAGCACTCGCTCTCGAATTGAATATATTACGCACCCCTTCTGTTATCAGCTTCGGAGCGCGCCCTGAGCGCCTTGAACCCCGGTCTTTTCTAAATCTCTCGGCACGCACAGGTTAAGGCTCTCGTTTCGCGCGCCAGCGCCTAGACGGGAAGCATGATCCAAAGCACAGCATTTGAGGCGCTTCATCGACGGGACTCATCCGTGCGCGCGAGGACGAGCTCGAAACCTGCGTGGAGCAGCGGCAGGGCAGAGATGGAGCACACGGGGCTTCGGTACGCGCTCGCGGTGCGGGCGTACTAGTACTCATTTGGATTGCGCTTGGCGCGGACGTGGGAGAGGGTGCGTCCGGGAAATCACCGGAATAAGACTGTGAGACTATCATAGCGGGGAGAGCAATGTAGATTGCAGGCATATGAGGACTCACGTCGAGTATGACCATAGCATTGGCGACGTCGGGTCCTGTAATTAAAACGGCGAGCGTAGTCGCGGAGACGCAGAGCACCATGCAGAGCTGGACGCGCCTGATCGATGGGCACGCCGCGGACTAGTACCCAGTTGCTCGCGCGACGAACCGGTGGACCCCTCGATTTGCGCGGTCCGGCGACAGCGCAGCTCTCCTGGTGACATGCACCGCGCGTCGTATCAAGGGGACCATGATCGAGAGATCTAGTTGCCTAGTGGAGCCTGAGTACTGAGTGACGGTACCGCGGGAAGGTAACACGCGGCTGGACGTGTGCCGGAAAATCGAGCGCACCGATGGAGAAGAGGGGTGACCAGCGAAGTCAGAGTAGAGAGCATATGTGCGCCTCGTCTTCGGGAGGCCGATACACTGGGGCGGATACTACCAGCGGGGGCATGGACCGCGCCTTATCAACGGGCGAGACATGTCAATCGGTCGCCCGACGAGGAGTATGGAGCGTGAGGGATGCAGACGTGCGCCACCCAGACGTGTGCGCCACTCCGTATCAAAGGAACCGCTGGAGATCGAGGAGGAAACTAGTGCAGTGGCGCAACAAGTAAAGCCAGAAGTGGCGCGTTGTTCCTTCTCGGCAAGAGGAGCCCCGTTTGGGACGTTCTGGGGGTGCAAGATCCCTTAAAGGTGTCGGAGGAACGGCGCTGGAGGCGTGCAAGGCGCGAGGAAAGCGATTGCGATGGTGGCAAAGTCCGAGCCGGATGTTGATCCGAGCCCACGTGCGCGGTCTTGGCCCAATCGTCTTCTTCTCTTGACGCTCACCGCAAAACCTCGCCCTTTCGAGCGCTAGCCTAAGGCTCATCACCTATCTCATGGCTGTCGCGAGCATCTCCATGCGGTCTCTTTGCTTCTGCGTCCAGAGAATGTGCCGGGCATGGTTCTCCACCGGATATTTGTCTTTGGTCGTGCGCACTGCCTGTGCAATACTACTGGTACGGCTTAGATATTCGGAGCCCTAATCGGACCAGTAGACTCTAGTCCAGACTTCGGCTCTGATTCACACACGTGTTGTATAGGGCAACTGAAGCCCTCGGCGAATTGTTCCTGCTCTTCCTGCTCTGCCAGGTCGCTGTGTTGCACTCGAAGTCTGCCCATTCAGTTGGTGTTCTCTCTTCCTCCCACGTCACTAAGCTCGAACTTTCGTTGCCTTCCCATTGGCTGGCTGGGGCGCTGCTCTAGAACTCCAGACCTCGCTTTTCCTACTGCGTCAAGACTCAAGAGCATCTGGAGAGGCCGGCCTCCATTGCAATTCAGCGCCTCGGCGCCTGGAGAATCGTCTAGTACTTAGGAAGGCACGCAAGTGAGCAAAGGAGCCTTCGCACTTAGATCATGGTGATCGCCTAGACTCGATGGGCAGTTGAGTTCAATTCCCCCCGAAGGCATCAATAGAATGTTCACCAGTTTTTCTCTTGGAAGAGTATCCACGGCGATCGCCCATCTGGTTAATGATGGTGGGGAAGAGGCTCGTTTATGTTCGAATTGACTCCCCATTTGTCTTTTACTTCGGATTCTGCGGCGTTGCTCCTGAACGCACTTATAAAGTGCAGAAGGAGCGGAATGGATGCCTTCTGGGATCATGGTGACTACCTCTCATGTGTTATAGAAAGTGGTGGGACGCAGGGGGGAGGGAGCGGTGATTCCTCCCGCAGGCACGGAAATGACTTGGACTGTTGTATTTGCTTTGCCGGCCAACGGGAGATTTCTTTGTCCTTTGGTGCACTTGGAAGGCACACGAAGGAGTAGAAAAGCCTTCGTGGATCATAGCGATCTCCTCGTTTCAATAAAATGAAAATACAGCCCTGAAAATGGGGAGACGGAGGTTCGATTCCTCCCGAGGGCACTTGCACTTTGTCCACCATCTTTTTCTTAAGAGTCAGAGTGAGGGCTTCTCTAGGCCGGCACACATACCAAGGACAGAAGGGTACTCAGAATGCCCTCGGAGATTGTGGTGTTCGCTCCGCCTTGATACCATGATCATAGGCTGACATTTGATCGGGGAGGAGGGCTTGTTTCTCCCGAAGGCATTACCATTTCCATCGCGGATGTTTTCAGAGAGAGGTCTCCTTGAGATTCACTTCGATTGACTTTTATTCGGGGGTCACAAAGCTCGGTTGATCGTGGCCATTCCCACCTCTATTACATGGCAGGCGTAGAGTACGTTGAAACTTCGTACATGCTTTTTAAACCCACGGCGAGGGCTCCCACTTGATACACTGCGTGGACGCTGACGGAGAGTACGCCTTCCATCGTGGGCCGTGGTGTTCGCACGGGCTCTGAAGAAGTACTGATGATGGGGGTTCGATGCCCAAATCCTCCCGAGGGCATCACGATTTTCCGAATTATTTTTTCGCTGTGAGATCAACGCTTACCGTCAGACGTACTCGGCAAATGATGGAAGGAATCTGATTTTTTTCCGCATTCAACTAGGTGTGCTTGTATGTATACATAACAAGTCTTTGTGGATCATGGTGATCACCCCGTCCCGTTAGACCAGCGCCAAACATGCACGGGAGGTGAAGGTTCAATTCCTCCCAAAGGCATGGCTGATCAGCACAGAGATTTCTTTTTACAGTCATGCCGAGGGTGAATCCCAGTGAAAAACCCGTCTCGGCAAGTATCGGCAGGTATCGGCTAGTATCGCACGGTCTCGCACGATGAAATTTAGACCACACGATACAGGCTTATACCAGATGAGAGGAAAATGGGAATTTGACTACTGCTGTATCGGGCTGTATCGAGCAGGATAGGTTTTTTATCCATTGGTGCTATTGATATACAAAATATGCTACAGCGCTCCCCTGCGCCCCCGCTCGCCGTCCGCTGCCCCGCTCACTCGACCTCGAATTCCAGTAGCCAATGCCCATTGCTGACTCACCGCGGACCTCCGTGCTGTCCCCCGCACTCGCTGTCGTCGCTGCCGGCGCTGCGTAAACGTGCAACGCACCCTTATCGGCGCCGCCGCTCTCCCGCACCACCGCTGCCCTGCCCTGTCGAATGCTGGTGGCAGCCTCCCGCTCTCCGCCAGCGCTTCCACCCGGTGAGCTGAGCTGACTTGAGAAATCCTGTGGGGCGGGGTAATGCGCATGCTGCGGTCACAGTGTGTTTATGAGTAACAGAAAGCACGCAAGAGTGACACGTACCTGCACAGAGCACCGAAAAAAAAATACAAAGAAGTTGCAAAGCCGTCGGAGTCACCGCTCATGAATCTATCCTCCCGATGAGAAACGGTATATGCATGATCACATCCAAGGGAATGGCTCACATACTATGGAAAGTAATCAGAAGGACGAGAGGGACGAGGGGCAGAAGGAGGTGTCGACGTCGGAGAGCGGACACGAGGTACGGTCGAGTGAGCAAAGGGGGCAGGATGAGTTTGTGATTAGTGTGAGCGACGAGGATTTGCACCCAGTGGGATCACTGGGTCACCGTGAGTATTTGGTCAAAATCTACAACGAAGGAAAGATATACGTGCGGCGCAGATTGCGACCAGGTCGCATCAAGCACAGATGTCGCCGGCCAAGACAGCAGAGAGAGATGTTGGTACAAGTGCAACAGGGAGATATAAACTCGAACCAAGCATGTATAGAGTCCCAGAGGCATAGCCAGCGAGATACAGCCGCAGAGAGAACCCAGAGAAGAGCCATCTTGTAGGAGCACCAGCGGTAACAGTTCGAACAGTAGTCCTCTATAGCATGGAGGTGCAAGTTGCTAGGTTCGCCTACGACACCGTCTAGACGAAGCAGCCATGGCAGGGCACGCAGGGATGGCGACGCGAGCCTACATGGCGGAGAGAAGAAGAGCGACAATTCAAACTCCGCCGACCGACTCACCCGTTCGGCCCCGAAAGACTCAGAAGAATTAGAAAATGTGAAAACTGGCTACGTCATAGATTCATTTACAGGACGACCTCTAGACGAATCCGAGACTATCCGATACTCCCCAATATTTTCGTGACAGCACGATACCCAGCGATACCTGCCGAGACGGGTTTTTCACTGGGGGTGAATCCTGAGCGGACGCACCTGTGGAGTGGATAAAGGCCATGGTGCTGCCCATTAGACTCGATTTGCGAGACGGAGGTTCTATTAGTACGCAAATCTTGAGTGCAGACACACTGGTTCGACTGCGAGAAAGACAGGAACATAGGGAGGAAGGAAATGAACCCAACACGCCTTCGTGAATCACGGAGATCGCCCCGATCTGGTGCGCCTCAAGCCTTGGACCCGTTAATGGGGAAGCGGAGGTTCTCATTGTCACTCCTGTATATAGCTGTAATTTTCTTGTTTACTCGGAATCATCATCTGCAAAGTCCACACGGCCACAGAAGATCGGGAGGGTATCATGTATTGCAAGGATAGCATGCAGGATGACTGACTGGTCTAAAGATGCACTCTCCAGCCAGCACAGTCGGTGATCCATGAACGAGACTCACCCGCAAAGGTGATGGTAACACTGATCAAGCCCATAGTCGGGCGCTAAGGGAGCTGTGGCGGTGGGATGCCAGGACGACATATCTCATCCGGATCGATGCAAACTGCCACAGTCTATTCTAATGCTCGACACTCCGCATATAATGGGATCTGTGTAAGATCCCAGGCATCCACTAAAAAAATCGCCGACCGGGTGAATCATGATGAACACCGTTGTGCATGAAACATTGATTGGAACAAATTTTGGGGACCAGAAGATGAGCGAATCCCGGGCCAAGTTCGGGTGACATAGAGCAAGGAAGTCATTCGTGGACAGTCCCTTGATCCCTAGACTGGCTTGCTCGGAATCGAGTCCAGGGAATACGAACCCCGAAGGAATTCCCACGGATCTGTGTGAATCATGATGAAAGTGGCTTTTTTCAATCACCCCGTCCTATGGCCACTGGATTGGATGATAGCATCCCCATCATGTACCTAGAGAGGAGCTTTGAAATGCACGCAATAATCAGCAATCCGCTGGATAATTTTGTGAGTACCATTTCCCAAAAGCCAGGGAAATGCAACACGGCACTCCTTCCATTTGTGATTGGGTGATTATCATTGATGTCAACTGGTGCAAAAATACGCCAATCACTGAACTGCACCAATAGTCAGATAGCAACACATCGGAGAGATGCAACTGAAATAGACTGTGGCATAATTCTGCGTATAGGACACAGGCTACCCACACTCATGAGATTATCATGGAGTTGAACATGAATCACTTGATTAACATGATATGTGTCGAGGACACTGCCTTGCCATGCTCACATATAAGAGCGCCATCTCCCGAGTTCGTAGTCCACCATTCCACGATGTCCCCCCAACCCACTGTTACCGATATCCGTCTGAATAACACCATCACCTGTTTGGCCCCAGTGATTACACTCCTCAACGAGCTCAGTGATGCATTTGGTACCCCATTTGTGCCGGCCATCTCGAACACCACTCTCTCCTTGATTACTGCAGTGCAGGTAAGATATGTCTGTTACAGTTGGCTGTGAGCGCTCATATGGCATAGAATGTCAAGAAGAATAAGGAAGACTGTATTAAACTCCTGGAAAATGTTTATCAACTGCTTTGTGCTATTATCAATCTCCATATCAAGTCCGAAACTAAGGGGAATCTTCCTCCAGCAACTTTGGACCATGTTGGGAAATTCATGGAGTATGTATGAGGCTACTTACTGTGAGTATAATTGACAGTTGATTAGGACACTTCACAAGATTCATACATTTGTGGAGGCGCAGCAGGATGGAAACAAGATCAAGTCTTTCTTTCACCAGACTGAGACAAAGACACTTCTCAGTAAATGTCGAGCAGGACTTGAGCAAGCTTTGCAGGTGTTCAAGGCGAATCTTCTCGCTCATGATGGATGCCATAGCACTCAAACCTCGTGTAGATTGAAACGAACATCACTGTGCTTGGTCACATTACTCAGATGCAGGAAGAGGCCGAGATGATGCACAAGGAAGTGCTTGAGTTGATTTCAATCTGGTCAGATGGGACAACATCTGATAGGTCCTCCTCTGTACGGACTTTTTCATCCTTGCCAAAAACTGCTTTCCATCCCTTGCACAGATCTACAAGACCGGTGGATCCCAGAATAGGTACTGTTTTCGGGTCGGGTCGTTGATTCAGACTAAATTTTGCCTGCTCAAGTTCCAACTCCATCTCAATGTTACCAGCTAAACCGAAGATCTTTCATGGCCGGGAATCAGAACTCAAGGAGATAGTTGATATACTCCAGCAGGAATCACCGAGAATTGCCATTTTGGGTCCAGGTGGAATGGGCAAAACAAGCCTTGCCAAAGCTGCCCTCCACCACCCGGACATTGCTGCCAAATATGAGCAGTGTTTCTTTGTTGTTGCAGATTCAGTGACGACCAGTGTTGGACTGTCAGGGCTGATCGGGGAACACATTGCATTCAAACCAGCAAAGGATCTTACAAAACAAGTCATACAGTACTTTGCTACAATTGGGCCTTCCCTGCTCATTCTTGATAATCTGGAGACTTCATGGGAGCCCCTCAAGTCACGTGGGAAGGTTGAAGAGCTCTTGGCCAAACTCACTGATATCCCACATCTGGCACTCGTGGCAAGTCTCCAGATCTGCTCAGGCTTGCAAATATACTAACATCTTGATAGATCACGATGAGAGGTGCAGAACGGCCAGCCAAAGTCCAGTGGACGCGGCCCTTTCTGGCACCTTTAAAGCCATTGTCAGATGTTGCCGCTCGAGACACATTTTTTGCCATTGCAGAGGATGTGCATGATAGCAGGGATGTCAATGAAGCACTCTCGTTGACAGATAACATGCCACTTGCTGTTGATTTGATAGCCCATGCTGTGGACTTGGAAGGCAGCTGCT